AACTTATCGATTCTTAACTTAAGTATTTTATTAAAATTAACCAAAAAAAAAAAAAAAATTGCTTTGAATTTCAATTTTACAAAAAAATTTTTTTTTTTTCTTTACCAATTCATTAATTATTGCCGGGAACATTCACATTTAGTTTAGCCATAAATTTTTCATGTTGTTTGTATAAATTAAGTACAAAAATTTGTTTATTTGTAATTATTTTTACTTTTAATTTTTTTTATTATTATTTTTTCTTTTCTTATGAAAAAAATATTTTATTTTGTTGACAAGAAAATATTTTTCGCTTTTCTTTGAAAAAGATTTTTTTTTGTTCTTCTTTCGTTTTAGATTTTTTTTTTTGAAATTTTCCAATTGCTTGAATGAAAGAAGAAAATGCAAAGAAATATGTTTTTCCTACTTTTTTTGACAATTAAACAAAATTATAAAAATATTTAACAAGACAATAATAACAACACTAATATTATATAGAAAATTGAAAAAAAAAGAAAAAAAAAGTGTAAATATTAAAGAGAACAATTAAAACAATAGCAACAATGAAAGCAACAAACCAAAAGAAGAAAAAGAAAAGAAAAAAACAAACAAAGTAGAAACAATTTCTCATTTATTTCAATTCATTTTTTGTTGCCTTTTGGCTCGCGTCATATAATTTTTGATACGTTCGCACAATGTGCGCAATTTTATATATTCGTAGTTTATTTATAGGTTACTGACCTAACACAATTTACTAATATTGACTTTTTTCTTTTAATGTACAAACAATGACAAATTTAATTGTTATACAAATTAATCCCAAAGGTATAATTAATTTCGTGTACATATAAGTAAATCATACGTAACGCTAACTAAGTACATAGTTCTAATTGATTAGTACAAGCAAATAATAGTTACCTTACTTTCCTAAACACTTTTAAGTGAGTAAGTAATTGAATTTAGGGTCTCATAATACTAAAAAAAAAACATTTTAACATTGCCTTAGTAAAATTTGTAAAAGAGAATTATGATTGTAATTGGCAGGGCTGTGTAAATTATCATTTATGCTAAGTGAACTTTAAACATAGGGTTAACTATTTTCATCAAATATTTGCTTATATGAGCCATGAATTAATCAAATTATTATTAAATGATCAAATCAAATTATTATTAAGTATCGCCACATTATACTCGTATGTATATAAGTACTTAGGTAAATGCATTTCTAAACCCTTCTTTTAATCTCGTCTTTTTTCCCCCCTTGTTTCAGAATCTATTTTATGAAGTACCAATAATAAATTTTTATTTTTTTAATCTAATGTTTAATTTTATATGACTGCAATAAGTAAAGCATTTGATATGATAGCACAAATACATTAATAATCAAATTTTGCTATCACTGAGAATTTAATTGTATATGTATGTATTGAAAATTCTTTATCAATTCAACTCTATATATGTATGTATATAATCTTAACAATTGATAATTATAATAAAATTTAATATCAAATCACTTACATATAAGATAAAAAGTGCAGAGTTCTTTAATGGAATATTTACTTGTTAAAAGAGTTAGAACAAAACCAGCTCAAAATTAATTGAATTTTGATTTAATAAGCCAGATACTCTCAATTTTAGCTTTTTTATTTGTATTGTTACAAGAACATTTTTTTTAAGCAATCTTACAACGTAAAGCTTCAGCCTATCGTACATGTGCATGTTACAATCTTAATTGTAAAGGCATCTGTGTAGGAATTCTTATAGCTTGCGGTAACTCATACTTAAACAGTTATGTTAAAGTTTTCATATTGCTGTTAATATGAATGAGCATATATATATATATATGTATACATATCTATGTATTGTATACACATAACGTATAAGTACAAATAAATTTATTCATTCACAATACAAAAACATAGAAGAAGGTCAAGTGTTTTTTATGTTGTAAATTCTTACTTAAAATATTTTTATTAATATTTAAATTTATTTTCTATCTTTATTCTTTAATTTTTATTTCAATCTCTATGTAAGTATTTATTTTTGTTAGAATTTTGTAATCGATGACTACATGTAATAGTAATATTTTTAACTAAGTATGTAAAATTAATAATTATAAATACAATTGCTCTAAAAACTTAAGCATTAATTTAAACATTTTATATACTTAGAACTATAAATTTTATAGAAGAATTTTTAAATAATACATTTTGCTACGGCGATTATTTTCTTAATGAAGAGAAGGTATATGAATAATGCGCGAGCATTCATTATCACAAACGTATAAGCAAGTCGTTTAAATACGTAAAATGAACAAACAATATTACAACTAGATTATAATACGAGTATTAGAATTTACTAAAAATGGAAAATTTACATCAAGCCGAAATCGAAGATCCTAAATATGATCGTAATTTTTTCATTTTCCATTTATAATTATTAAGTATACCCGGTGATTATGAATATTTAATACAATTTTCGCTAAGTATTTAGTACTTATGTAATATAATTTTAATTTAATATTAAAAATTATTATTATAGTTTTTTTGCCCTATTGTTAAAAAAAAATTACACAATTTGCAAAAATCATACTAACTTACGTCACTATCGTTTGTCACCACAGACATATTGTAAAAGTAAGTATAGAATACAAATAGACGACAACAAATACAAAAAGTAAAAGAAAAAACAATTTTTTTTTCTTATTTGAATTGAATGAGAAATAAAAATGAGCTCAGCTTTTTAAGAAATAGTTACCTAAAACATACTTACTTACAAAAAAAAAAATATTAGTTAAAAAAACAAAAACAAAAAAAATTTGAATTTTGAATATCATAAATAATGCCGCAAGCTCATAAGTATGTTTTGTGGTTAAGGTCAGTGACGTTCAATGTGAAATAAAATAGTTACTTATAAATTAAAAAAAAATTTAAATAGAAAGGAAAAAGACAAAATGAATTATTGATTGTTTGGTTGCGTTTTTAACAACAATCTAACGCCCAAAATTAATTATACAACAATACAATCTATAACCATACATACATACAAACATACATACATACATGTTTATATAGGTACCATAATACATAATTTGTAAATTTGATTAGATGTTGAAAACTTTGTTGCTTTTATAAATTGAATATCAATTAGAATGTTGCTAAAATATTAAAAAGTAGGTAATTAATTTTCTAATTTTATTTCAAATTTCGAAAGCTTTTATTTTAATAATTAAATTATAAAATTTTCAAGATAAGAAACTGTTTGGAGAGTTTTTTTATGAGTGTACAAATATTATGTAATCTTATCTCTTTATATTTACATAGTAAATTAAGCGAGTATGTGTGTATGGGTTATGTATAAGGGTATTTAAGTATATTTGAATTCAATCGAAAATATGGTGGTGCACTTTTTTTTTTTCTCTAATTATTTAAATTCTTTAAACTTCACAAAATTGAAATTCTTTAAAATTTTCAAGTATCAAAAAAAAAATTTTTACAATTTGTTTTCTATTTTTTTTTTTTGTATTTTAAAGAATTTTGTTTTTTGGCATAATGCCAGAGAGAGAGAGAAAGAGAGAGAAAAACTTAAAAAATAAATAAACATATGTTCATCATGAAATAGAAAAAAAAAAATTGTTTTTTATTTAGTTCAGCCTACCTTTATCTTTGTTTGCCATTTATATTTTTTTCTTTCTACTTATTATTAAATTTACCTCATTATGAAGAAAAAAAAAAATGGCCGAAATGAAGATAAACAAACAAACAAAAAAAAAAAAAAATGCTTATACTCAATTACAAAAAAAAAAATATATAGGCCTATGCCAGTGAAATGATCCTAAAAATAGACCTTGCTCCGCATATAAAACATACTAAATTATAGATACAATGACAGATAGTAAAATTTCTGCTCTGCGGTCTAAACTAAGAAAACGAAAGAATTTTAAAAATTCGATCATTTTCTTCCTATATAACAAAACAATATTTATCGTATTCCAAATATTCTTAAATAATAACATACATACATACATATACTTAATTTTAATTTTGATAAATGCTCGCCATAGAGGAATTGATTTAGGAAAATTCACGGGATTGAAAAAATAAATTTAATTTTATTTTGCATATTATTGATCAGCAAGTTTATGACTAATACTTAAGTAGTATTTTTATATATTTACAATCTTCATTTAGAAAATTTAAAACTCTAAATAACATATACTTATGCATACTAACCGGGTTAAAAGTGCACGACTACCATATATAAAGATCTATTACATACAGGGACACATATAAGGTACGGCTCATATCCCTACAGGGACACTGTAGGTCGCAAAAATTAACCTTAACGGGGCAATTATGTACTACCCTTCACTGGAAGAAGGAGGCTGAACATCTACACATAATTCATATGAGCGGCTTTGTTGTAGAGAGGAAACCGGAGGTTAAATAAATGTCTGCAGAACTCTTTGCATAATGTCACAAAGAGTCCTTTCAAACTTACTCCTAGCGATAATGACAATTTCATCAGCATAAGCCTAGCCATGAATTTCCTGACGAAGCAGTTCATCAAGTATTAACAAATTTCTGCCTTTATTTACTATCTTCTGTTTTCCGCTTGCACATTAGCAAGAGCTTATGATAACATGATAAACATGATTAGAGCTTATGATAACATGAGAGTAATCTTTCATGTTAATCTCTCTCCCCGCCTATATTGTTACCAACTTGATGAATTTTATTTGTTTCTTTAATAATCTTTATTTTAAAAATACTTTCATTCAAAATAATTCGAATAATCAATTAAGTAAGAAGCAATTATTTAAAACAAAAACAGTTAATCCCTTTCTGTTCAAAGTAAATATTTAAAATAACTTTTCAAGTACAAACTTTTTTCTCGTTTTTTTTTTTTTTTGTTTAATTAGAATATATCCAGGAATTTAAAATATATAAGTATATATAAAAATATTGTTTAACTTAAAAATAAAAATTATTTAAATAAAAATTGAAAAGAAAAATATTTACCTTGATGTTTTGTTTTTTTTTCCTGTTTAATATTAAGTAAACAATTTAATATCCAAATTATATAATCCTCCCGTTTTGATAAATCATTAACTTTGTAGAATTTTTGATAAGAATTTTAAGTTTAAGTAACTAAGTAGCTAAATCCCAAAATAATTAAATACAAAATTTAAGTAACCAAGTAATTTACACTGTTAAGTATTGTTTTTATATACTTTTATTCTCATATATATATATATTTCTTTATTTTAATTAAAGTTAATCACGTTTAAAACCATTTAATTACTTATTTTAAGTACAAAAATTATAATTTTATTTTCGATTTGAACTTTCTTGAACAAAAAAAAAAAAAAAAACATGAAAAATATTAATAAAAATTTATAATTTTTTTGTTTTATTTTCAATACATACGTATACATACATATAGAAAATTTTAATAAGCAAAAGATTATAAAAATTTTTTTTTGAAAAGAACGAAAATGTCAAAATAAGTACTTGAAGAGTAGATCGATACTCGTATTAAATTTTAAGAATTTTTTTTTGTTTTTCAAAAACTTTAATTTTTGAATTCTAAAACTGTACAGCAAAAGTAAGTAGTTATGCATATATGAATTGTAAATGGACAAATAGACATTGTACATAAGTACTTGCAATTTATTAATTTTAATAATATTATAATTATAATATTATATTAAGGAATAATTATAATTAAGGTATTAAATTTTAATTATTTTAAACACACTTAAATTTTAAATTTCCCAAGTGCAAAAAGTACTTGATGATGAAAGTACTTGATGAAATCCATCAGTAGAACAATCACTAAATTAATGATTACCTATAATGTAATCCGAATTCGTATCGTTATTAAAATTTGGTTATGCTCATAAAAGAACATTGAAAATAACAAATTTCAATAAATGTAAAAATTAAAAAATTACTATTTGTGTAAGTACTTTTTAAATATTTCAATTAATAAATAAATAACTATATAAACAACTCGTCTATTTAAGCAAGGATTTTGCACTTACGAGTAGTTACTTATATGTACTTATTTTAACTTTTCGTTTAATAATTAAGTATCAAGTACTTAAAGTAATTCAAAGAAAAAGTACTTGTTGATATAATTACAAAAAATTTTTATTTTTCTTAATAAAATTTTTATTAAAATTTGAACTAAATATGATTTTTTGTTAATTTTAATAAAATTCATTTATTTGCGTACTTAATTAAAATATTAAATTTTGATTTTACTTTCACTTTTCAAATTTAGAATAATAAGTTGTAAATATACACTTATAATTAGATTTCTAAAGCACTGAATAATTTTTCTTGATTTAATTAAAACTACGAAAACTACTAATAGTATGGATTTAATAAATAAAAAAATATTAAAATATTCACAAATTTCAAATTGTATTCGAATGAAATCCGAAATGTTTTTACTCTGATTTTAAATAATAAAATAAAAAATTTCATAAATTTTTCTCTATAAATTGCTACTTAAAGGTTAATATAAATAAAAATTAACTAACAAATTTTATTTTTTAAAATTATTCAAAACTTATTAATTTTTTGCAGTATAAATGCGATATATATATATATATATATATATATATACAAAAACTGTTATTATATCCATAAATGCTTGAATATATATAAGCACATATAACATCGCACATATTCACTTGTATACTTACTCAAATGTATAATTAAATTTAAAAAAAAAAAATTTCAATCACGGTTTTGGTAAACTACTTAATTCAAATTATGGGTTTATTGCTATTTGTTAATGTATACATAAAAATATAAACATATACTTTAGTATATATGTACAAATTTTTAATAACTAGTTAAAAAAAAAAAAAGTGGAACACAAATTTCGCGAATTTTTTTTTTTTTGTACGTGCTGTATTACGAGTATTACACATGTATACCTAAATCTAAAATGGTATATATGAAGTTATGAATTTGTATACTTATATGTGTAATAAATTAAAAATTGCAATATAATCAATCAAATATATAACAAGTACAGGGTTAATCCTAATTAATAAAAATATCTATTATCGCACAAGTTCTTACTGAAATATCAATTTAATTAAAATTAACAAAATTTTATTAATTGTTTAGTCTATAGTTCACCACAAATTTAATTCATAAGGTGAAATTCTGAAATTTAATTCATAAGTTGAATTTTGAAGGTCTTAATAATATTACTTAATTTTTTAACATCTGATGTATATGAAATATTGTATAACAGTATAATATAAGCCATTTGCCTAAATTCTAAAAATTAAAATATAATATTATAAATACTTAAAAGTTATAACTGAAATAAGTAACTAACAAATAACTTTAAATTACTTATTTCTGAGAATAATTTGAATAAGTATAAAGAGCAATATACAGGGTAATTTTAATTTATATGTAATTTTCAATTTATTATTAAAATTTTTTAAATTGATTATAAGATAATTTATTTATTATCTTAATCGTTTAATAAATTAAGTACTTATTTAAGTAATTAATTAATTATTAAGTATCTAAGTAATAAGAAGAAAACAAAATCTTAATAGTGCGTTTGACACAATATACATATATATACTTATATACAACAATACATATATACATTACATTTTGATATTCAAAAAGAAATTTATGAAAACTAACTCAAGAGTATATGAGACAAAAATGTCGAAGGAAAGAAAACTAAAAGAAAATTTTTAAGTATTTGAATAAAGTTCAACAGGTGATTCAACGCACTATCTATAACATGTACAAAAAATGTAGGGGTATGTACATAAGTACTACAGTATATATATACATGCTTAGAAATTTCAATATAGTTCAAGTTACATTTACAATAATACAAACTATGTACTTACATATTATATCTTATGTAATTTCTTATATAGTTAAAGTACTTTTTATGTAACTAAAAATATTTCGTATTGTTATACATATAACAATATACTACCCCTCTATATATATAATACAGCTAAAAATCAGCTGATGTTAAAGCTTTTTATTTAAATTTTTTTTATACTATCGTCGCTGATTTTTCAGTTTTAATTTTTTTTTATTTAAACCTGTTTAAAAATTCATACTACTTATATACAATTAAGTGTTCAATTAAAAAAAAAAAAGGCGAAAAAAATTGAAGTATAAATATGTAAACAAGTAAATAGGTACATATATAGTTACTTATTTAGCAAACACACCTTATTTTAATTTTAATATATTAAAATTTTATATAAAAAATACATTCTAAAGAAAAACTATTGAATAAGTATATACATATATATATATAGTAAGTATGTTTGAGTGATATGAGCAAATAATTTGAGTGATTTTAGAACAACTAATAATTAAATTAAAATGAAAATCATTTAAATAAGTATAACTATATAACTATGAACATATACATGCATATATCTACATATATATTAGTTAAATTTAAACATACTTATATACTAAATGTATTCAACTTAACTTAAATAAAAATTGAGAAAATTTTATGCAGGTTGCGTTCAAATATTCAAAATCCCAAAATGTAATTGAAATAAGAATTTTAAATCAATACAAGGAATTATTCAAAGTCAATTAAGTATAGTTAATTATTCTTATGCAATACTATCATTTACCGAAACATACACACATATTGAGTATATAAATACAAATCTATATATAACAAAGCTTTCGAACATAAAGTTCAGCAGTTTAACCATATAAGTGGATCGTTGTTTTACAAAATTTTAATTTACTTAAGTGTATTTTATATATTTGTAATATTGAAAGGAGTTATCATTAGTCTCTAAATTTCCTTAACAAGTCCTAAACTAAATATACTCAAAACCTATAATGTACGAGTAAGACAATATAGTATATCAAACATTCTAGTGTGTCGGTTTATACCTAATCTATTAATTAATATTAATAATTAACCATTAAATACTTCCAATTCCTACTGTAAGTATTCATTAAGTAAAATATAAAAATATTTTTAATAATTAACTTTTTCGGATTTAATTCTTTTGGATTTATTTCAAATATATATTTTCATAATTATTCAAGTATATACACTTGGTATTGTAATTAATTCAAAATCAAATATTAAAAAAAAATAATAATAATAAAAAAAAAAAATTGTTGTAGGTGAATTTTTTTTTTTTTTGAATTACTTATTTATTTACGTGCAAAACAAGCAATTTGTCGTCGTTGTCGTATAATATTGAAATATATAGGCGCTTTTGAAAACTTCTCTATTGAATTTAAATCAATAGAACAACATTAGAATTAGAAATGAAATGCGAATACAAAAACCAATTAAAAACGCCAAATTAAGTTCTTCTTTACAAATTAATTTAACTAAATAAAGTAGTAAATATTTTTTATTATATAGTTTTTTTTTTTATTTTTGTTTTATTTCGAAATTTTCCTTTGTTTTATAAGCAAGTATTTAAGAGTATAATATGTACGTGTGTGTGTATTGAAAACGCGAAAATGATAATAAATTTTATAGTCTTAAATAATTGCAAATATACAATTAAGGGATACACAAAATAAAATTCTAATTAAGTAAGTATAATTTATTTATTTTTTTTATTAAAATAAGGAATTTTCCTTGTTTTTAAATGAAATTCAAAACAGAAAAGATAAGTAGTTAGTTTTAAATCATATATTTTTTAAATGAAAATATTTATTCTTACAACTTATAGACACTTAATTATTCAGTTTAATTTTTGAATCGTTTAATTTCAATATTTATCCCGACCACTTTTAATTACTTATCTACAAATGATTTTTTAAAATTGTAGTTGAAATTCCTAATTATTTTCTACTGAAAAACTCTACTGAAAAAAACAAGTAATAAGTTTTATACTTTTTATATACTTAGTATATTTTTAATATTTAATACTCAATTTGAGTTTAAATATCAAAGAACTACCACGGTTGAATATATTCTTATGGGAATAAACTTTAAATACATTTTTGTTATATACATAAGATCTAATTGAAAAAGAGGAAATATTCTATCTTACTATAAAATTTGGTATGTAGATACTTTTGAATTATTTTCTACAGATTTTCGTTAATTTCAGTACATTTTGTAAAAAATAAGTACTTGCCATATAAATATT